AATATTATATTTAATAATTCCAAATTATGTAACATTATTAGAATTTATTATGCATAACTACTTATAACTATTTAATTATTTTATATATATATATATATATATGTTATATATCATTTATAAATATATATGATAAAAAGAAATCTTTTAAGTACATGTAATTGATGTATGTATTTTGAAAATTATACATGAAACATAATAAGAATGATCATTAAATTGTTCTTGTACTTAATTCATAGTTTTTACAATCTAAAAAGTAATCAACCAACAAGTATCTTTTATTATTAATTATTAATTACTATTAATTAAATTAAATCATTATTATTGGTAATGTCTTTATTATAAATACATATAATTATTAGTTGTTATATATAGAAATATATAGAATATAAAATGTCTACGAAATGTTAGATAAATTAATTAATTAATTAAAAATTAAGTTTCTCAAGAAACAATATTATTGTTCTTTTAAATTTTCAATCTCCTTCTAAGTCTATGATAACATAAACATAAAGTTTTTGAATTTTTGTTGAAATCAATTGCCAGAACATTGTTTCAGCTCATATTATTTGGATATCTTCAAAATAACAATTTATCTTGACTAACAGAAATATTCATTTCGATGGATAAGAGATATTGTTAAAAATTTTTTAATTCAATTTGATACTCATTATTCGATGTTTTAGATGGCAATATAGAATTATAATCATATTTAACAAAAAACTTTCTTTAAATATATATATAGAATTTTGCATAAATTAAATTCAGCGTTATTAATCAGTGACAAGGATAGTTGGATAATTTAAATAATAAAAAATCTCTGAAAAAATCAAAGAGATAATTAATAATATAGATATATAGACTCAGCATGATAATAATGTTTAATGAATGTTTAATGAACTTACGAAGATATAACAAATACATTAATTATTTATTTTTGTTATTGATTTCTATCGATTTAAAAAATATAATATCTTTTAACAAAATATATAATATAAATTTATTTATAAATTATATTTATATATAAATATATAATTTATGAAATATATATTTATTTTCATTCTTAATTGTAATTTATTATTATAAATTCATTTTAATGTTTTACTGTAGATTTAACGAGGAAAAAATTTAATATAAAGAGTTAATAGTATTAATATAAAATGAATGAAAATTTCAAAAATTATTATTGTCAATGCTTATGAAATTCATAAGATATATTAGACTATAAATGTCTATATTGTCATAAAATGTTAGCATCATAAAATTATGAAAAGTGAGATTTCATTCAGTTATATTAAATATTTTAAATATTATGTATAATATATACATGAATATTACAAACATATATAACAATATAATCAAAAATAAATATTTTAATTATAAATATTAAAAATATTCAAACAGTATAAAAATATATGTTTAAAAAATTAAATATTCTGTTTAAAAAATATCATTGATATTAAATGTTTACAATAATGAAATATGGAATATTATTAATGATATATAATATATCAAATAAAATATTTTTCATTACTTATTCAATTACTAATTCAAATCACATTTCTGATTTTATAAAAAGTAATAAAATAAAAAAGCGATTCTTCTTCTAAAGAAAGAATTTTATCTTCATCGATCCATCACATGACTAGAATTTCTTATTGTTATTAACTTGGCAAATGAATGCAATTGTAGATGATCGAACGTTACAAACGTGCAATCATTAGGATGTTAGATGATCATAGTCTTATCCGAATATATTACATTCTTGCGACATTAATACCTTTCACGTGATTAAATATGAAAATGAGACTATGAATTTCGAATATTTTCTTGAAAATATAAATAAGAGAAAGAAAAAAAAAATAAAAAATGGCGCTAAAATTGTTTTTTTTAAATTTTTAAATAAAAAATAATAAAATTAACTCAAGAGATTAAATGATTTACCAAATATATTGATAAAATATTCGAACTGTAATATCTTGTATAGAAAAACTTATACAATTGCATTATTAATTGAATAATATTTCTTATTAATTATATAAACGAATAAATAAATAAAAAACAATTGTTATTTTTTATCCTATCGGCGAATTTAATCTATTTAATCTAATTAATTATTTAATGAAAATTAAATAAGTTTAGATTTGGTATAGATTATTTTTAATTCCAAGTATTAAACCTAAGTAAAACAACAATAAATAACTTTCTGTTAATGTTATGTTTTTTGAGAAAGGTACTAATGATTGTTTTTGCATATTTCTTCACATAAAAAAATTATTGCTTGAGATAAATGTCAAAGAAAAATAGGAAACATACGTTAATACATCACAACAAATGCCATTTCAGTTTATATCAGTTAAGCAAAATTATGTCTTAAAATCGAATATAATCTTGAAAATGTTTTTGCATATATATTGCTTCAATTTGTTTTATTGGAATACTTTTTATTTGGAATAATGATAATCAATTGCATAGAATATTTGCTTCAACGAATGGTTTTAAGTTTTATACAAATTTTTTGATAGTGAGATATATCTTCCTAGTTAGTGGTCTCTTAGTTAAGATACACACGAATAAGAATAGAGATTAACTTGGAGAAAATGAATTATGTATTCTCAAAGCAGATTTTTTAAGACATAATCAATAATGATTTTATAAAATAATTTTTATAAATTTAAAAAAAAAAAAAAAATCTTTGAAAAAATTTAAAAAAAGAACAATTAAAATAATAATAAAATAATAAAATAATAATAAAATAATAAAATAATAATAAAATAATAAAATAATAATAAAACAATTAAAATAATAATAAAAAATAATAATAACAAAATTCTATTTTTGATAAACTTCTATTTTGTGTAAAATTCTATTTTTGATAAAATATAATCCTCATAATCTCTTTGCACAAAAAATTTTTTAAAATAAAATTAACAATAGTGTTAAAAAATAATATTATAATTATAAAAAAAATTGGCAACTGGTAATAAGTTTTTTATAATTTCATGTTGAACGAATTATCATTTGCGAGGAGTTGGTCAAAACAAAGCCGACGAAACATCCTGTTCGAAATTACGTAACTATTCTGTCGACTCTCGTTGACCCCGAATCGGTATCTCTCCCTTAACTTCGTCTTGTTACACGTTCTCTCACTAATTATCACGGCACCATTACGAGACATTTGCCAGTTTCTTGATTTTGCATTCTAACTGTGAGAAAGTGCATCGAACATAAACGAGTCGAAACGAAACATTATTCTCGTATTCTATGATCTATTAATAATAAGCTATCAACTAACTGTAGATTTATACTTATACTAGACTTAAATAGAATTCAAATGGTTTCAAATAATTTAAAATTTAAATTTCAAATAATTCTACATGAGAGAAGAAACCTCAAATAATAAATATGATTAAGAATTTAAAAATTTACAATGATTTTAAATAATATCAAATGAAAAAATACAATTGAATTATAATCAGTTTAAATTATGATCATTAGATTGATCTGATTTATAATACTTAATTGTAATTTAAAAAAAAATATTAATTTTATTACTAATAATTGAAAAATTGATGCGAATAAAAAAAAAATCATTCTCTCGAAACAATTAAATATCAGAATTTAAATCACGTGAAAGTATCTTTTGAGTATCTATTTCATATATTATGAATGATTATTAAAAAATTAGACAAATCTTAAAGTTTATTTATTTGAATATATTGTATATATGTATGTATTTTGTATTCAATTCTTCTTACCATATTTATTATATATATATGTATAATCATAATTATTTAAGAAAATAATAAATATTTTTAAAAAAAAAATTTTTTTTAGATATTATTTTCTTTATTAATATAGAATTTTGCATAAAATCTATTGAATATAATTGGATATTTTTGTAATTAATTATACATATAAATAAATATAATAAAATTAATATGTATATACATTGATATAATTTTTTAATAAAAAGAAAAATTAAATTTAATCGGTAATTAATAATAATAATAATTAAAATTGAATAATGTAGTATACATTTGTTTGCACAAGAAGTGAATGTTTTGTTTATAATCATAAGATTGCGCGAGAGTTTTGTACATGAAGTCGCTTTAACCTCAATTTCTTTTAGTCGTTGGGAAAACGTACTGGAGTATCTAAATGCCCCGGATTCACAGAAACGAATTGTATTTATCACCAACGTCATAGATATCATGTTACTTTTGTCATCGTGATTAGAAATGTTGAACTTTGACGGAAATACTACTGGAGAGAATCGAAATTATGCAAGTTTTGCAATATTATATTGTTATAATGTATGTAAAAAAAAACAATCTTAACTTATAATAGAAATTTAGAATTTAAAAATTTTTTTTGATTCGTTTAGAAAATAAATTAATATAACATTACAATCTTATTATAAAGTTAAATATTCATATAAAACTCAGATTATAGAATTTTTCTAATGCGTAATATCGGTGATATTATTTTTGATTTATAAAACATAATTTATAAAACAGTTTTATAAAACATGAAATAATTTTTATAAATAAAAAAGGATTTTAATAATTTTAATTTAAATTAAAGGATTTTTTAAATCTTTAATAAAAAATATTATAAATATTAATGTTATTGAATTTTTATATGCGTTTTGTTAATTTGAATAGAAGGTTGAGTTAGTTTGATTTGAATTATTATAAAAATTATATTATTTAATAATAAAATATGATTAAATATTAAAAAAATTTAAATGAATAATGTAAAACTTATTTAGTTAATGATAAATAACTAATTATCATTAATAATTAATTTATTCTTTGAATTTTAATTTAAATTTCAAGTTAGGTTTGTTAAATTAAGCCTCAAGGATGCTAGGCAACAATATTTATAAAAAATAAATAGAAATATTGTAGTGAAAAAAAAAAGTATTGAAGAAATATAAATATTATAGTGTTGTATTTACTAAGAAAGTCGTGAAATTTCAAAATTAAAAATTTACTCACGGTTTGCACATTTTTGAGGTATGGGAAGAGATAGGAATCTTCCTGGCCTATTGCTTTGTGGCCGAATTTCATTTATAGCTGGTTGGGCGTATACCAACGTTGCAAAAAGTACCACGGTCAGCGGCACCAACATCATCTAAAAAGTGAATTTATTTTTAAATGATATATAATAAATAATAAATTAAATAATAAAATATAATCAAAATAATATATTATAAAAATTGGACTAAAATATTTTTATGTTTTGTTTGCTTTTTATGTAAATAAATTAATATTTTATTTTGAAAATAATTAATATTTAATTTAGAAATAATAATTTTGTTTTAATGCATGAAATATAGGATATTTTTAAAAATAATAAATTTTAAAATATGAGATTCAACATTTTTTATTATTGATTTTATTGAAAAAATTTTATTTAAAAATTTGTAAAATATAAATAAATTTTATAATTTCATTTTTTATTTTTAATAAAATTTTAAATCATTCTATAGATTCTTTATTATACAATATATACTATACACGAATTGAATATTTATAATTGAATTAAATAGATGCAGCATTATTTTATTTTTTTATATTTTATATTATTTATGAATAATAAATATAAATAATAAAATAATTAAATATTAAAAAAACATTAAATGAATATGAAACTTATTTAGTTATATATATAGTATTTATCATTATAGTTATTATATAATTATATAATACATAATAATTATATAATATATAATTTTTTAATTATTTAAAATAAAAAAAATATTTGTTAAATATTATAACATTTATTTAAATAATAAAAAATTAATTCTATTTAAAAAAGATGAAAAAAAATTTCTTTTTTTTTTCTCCTCTTAGATTACTTTTCTTTGTTTTCATTTTTTTTAAGTAGCTATCTCTATAATTAATAAAAGAAAAATTTAACTTATAATATAATATAATAATAGTCGTAATTATATAATTATAATATAATAGTAGTTTTTTATTCAAAAATTCAATCAAAAATTAGTTCAAATAATTATAACTATTAATCACAAATCAATAAAGCAAATTTAAAAAATAATAGTTAAACAAATTTAAAAAACTATATATATTACAAATGTTTATTAAAGCAATATTATTAATGTAAATTTATTCCAATTTGTAAATCAAAACTTTATAACATAATTTTTTCAACAGAAAAAAAATCTTTATAAATCACAAGATGATCTATCGCACAATCTTTCAAGATTCAAACCGTCAATGAAATCCTAGACTATTGAAGGACGTTAATTTTAATTTTAAAATAACTTATATCATTGTTATATGTCTATAATTGTCATTCATATGATGATAAAAACTTGTAAAAGTTTTGTTGGTTAAAACTGACACGTAAGATAAGATCATGACTCGGTATATACATTTAATTTAAATCAACAAAAGTTTCACTTAAGGAATGCCAATTTCGTTAAAAGATAAACGTTTATTTTTTATTTATAATTAGATAGTAGCATTACTTTCAGTTTACTGCTATGTATTATATCGCGTAGTGATCTGATAATATGAATTTTTTTATTTGTAAATCTGGCTAACGATCGAACGTTTTTTTGTACAATCGAACATAACGATTATCGAGAGTTGCTTCTTTGCTTCCTCGAAGAAAAATGAAAACGCATGAAGCAAGAATTCTCTTGCATAATAAGGGATAAAAAATGGCATAATTAATATAGAATTAGTGAAAAATAATTTTATAGTTTCAATGTGAAGATGTTTTTTATTTTTATATTTTGCCTTATGAAAAATTATTTAGAAGAAATAAAAAATTACATTCTATGAAGATATTTTCAAAATGTTTTCATTTTTTACTTACAGAATGTTCTTAATTTATTTTTTTTTTAACAAAATGTATAATGCAATGCAAATTTATTAATAAATCATATATGTATTTAATGTAAATATTTTGGATTTAATTAGTTTATTTAAATATATTTAAAGCAATTTTTATATATTTTATTTTAAATTATTTAAAATATAATAAAAAAAGGAAGAAATTTCATATATTTAATATATAATAAATATTATATAATAATTATATAATTTTTATTACATATATATACATATATATATATATATATACGTTATATATTACGTTATATAAAAATATATAATAATAACGTAAGGTAATTTTGTTATATTTAATATATAATAACGTTATAATACCTTACGTTATTATTATATAATTTTCGTTATTTATTATATATATAAATTTTAACACTAATTATATATATATATATATATTTCAATATAAAAATGATAAATAACGAACGATAATTAAATAATTATGATAAAAAAGAAAAGCAAATGTAATTAAATTTAAAAAAATCTTAATAAATTTTAATTAGAAAAAATGAGATTTAAGATCTTTTTAAAATTTAAGATTTTTTTCTAAGATTTAGAAAAAAAAATTGTATTATTATTGAATTTAAAATTTAAAATTGACTTATTAATATTTTATTAATAATATATTTGCAACAATTTTTCTATAAATCGAAAAAAATTATAAAAATATTATAAAATTAAAAAGCATAACAATTGATTTTTTTTATAGATAGAATATTCTATATAAGATGCAAAATTTTTTTTTTAAATCACAGGATATTCTACATAAGAGAATATAGAAAAAAATTTATATTATTAAAGATATGCGACGAAAATTTTTTTATATAAAGTATTCTTCACCATAATTTTTTAATTATATGGAATAGAAAAAAAATTTGTAAATTTTATTAAATTCAATTTTATTATCTAATAAAAATTAATATAGTATTTTCACTTTTTTTATACATAAAAAACTTATTCCATTCATTTAAAATTTATTATTCGAAAATATTAACTTCTTTGAACCATTCAAATTTATATCTATATTGATTTTAGAGAAAATAGTTTATAATATTTTATTCAGAAATACTAATAATTTAATATTTACATTAATTATTATTTTCTATAAAAAATTTTAATAAAAAAAATAAATTATTTTTTTGTTATATTATAGATATTGTTATATTATAGATATTGTAAAATAATTATATATATAATATATATAGAATATAATACAATATAAAAAATATATATATAATATATAATATATATATATATATATATATATATTTTCTAAAATTTAAAATTTATTAAGAATTTTTTAAATTGAATTACATTTGCTTTTCTTTTTTATCATAATTATTTAATTATCTTTCATTATTATTATATAATTTTCGTTATTTATTATATATATAAATTTTAACATAAAACTATATATATATTTCAATGCAAAATAAAATTTTATTTTTTTAAATATTATTCTCAAATATTCTCAATATTTTTATTATTTTAATATTAAATACTCTATGCTTAAGAACAATTTATTAATGCTTAATAACAAATTAAATATTTATATAATTCAAATGAAAAAGAGAAAAATCAAAACTTTTAATTAAAATAACTAATTTGTAATATCTAAATATTTATTTTACATATAAATAATTATAATTAAAGTGATATTATAAAAATAAGTAGATATACGTATGAAAATTTCTATAATAATAATAAATTACAATATTAATTTTATCAAAAACCTTTTCATATATTTGATCAATATCATGTCATATATCTGATATCTTCATATCATATATTTCTCAATAATCGTAAAAATACGAAATTTGTTTTTTTTAGGAGTTTTAATATTAAACATCTTTAAATGTTATTGTATATATCTTCATTTTATTTTAAGAATTTTAAATATATAATACTTATTATTTATATACATAAAAACATTATTTTCTATGAAAACATTTTAAATAATTTCCAAGATGCAAAACAAACTCTTATAAAAGTATTATTTATAGTTCTATTCTTCAAACAATTTTTCATTGAATTAATGTATCTTTAGTATTCGTCACGCAGGAACGTACAGCATTTATATCTGCAATATTCCTTATGATATACATATACATATATGTATTTAGTTTGTTGCACTTGTCTATTTTTCTTTTTCTCCTCTCGTTTAACACTGGTGCGATTTTTCGTATTCCGCGAGTATTCCGTAGATGACTCTATGATCGTGAGAATTTTTAAAATAAAATAATAGACCGATATAAGTCACGCACAATATAAATACTTCTTTTGTTCTTTTTTAAAACACTCACCTTGTCTCACTTGTCTTTCTTTTTGCGATTTTTTTTTTCAGATCAAAATGGGACGGACGAAGAAATCGACGGTTAAAGAAACGTGCTCACTGATAGGATTATGAAGAGACAGGCACATTCACTGTCGATTATATAGAAATAGTCCCCACCATTGTAGACTCATCCCACCCTGGTTACAAGGATCCATCAAGACTCTTCTTATTGTTAGTTCGACCTTATACATAATTGGCTTAATAATTGGGGGTTACGATTTTTCTTGATTTTCACACATCTTTTCATCGCGTTCACGATTTGTTCGAGAAAAGAACGAGAAAAAGAGAATGAATATTTAAATTTATATTTAAAATATCTTTTTTTGTTACATTTGTGTTAATATTTTTTTTGTTATCTTATAGACAATGACTTGAAGTGGATTGTAAATAATTAGTATTCGTGTAACCCGGAAGCATGGGTACATAGTTTCTATAGATTTGAATGATGCTTGTTGAGTGGAAAAATCAATACAAGTAAGTAAGAAAAAATATAAATTTTAAATATTTAGGTAAGTAAATTTTAAGTTTTGACATTATATTACATTATATTAATATAAATTTTTTTATTAGTTAGATTTTATTGATTAGTTAGATTGAATTGATACATTTATATATACATATAGATATAAATTTTAAAATAATAAGTCTGTAATTTCATAGATTGCTACAAATTGCTAAATTATAATTTTCAATTCTTTTTCAAAATTTTTTTGTCTTTTTTTTTATATTTACTTACAAGTTTTCTGATAATTTGGATATGGTTAAATATGAAAATATGGAAATTCGAAAAATTATATATTAAATATATATATTATTGTTATATTTCATAAACAAACAAATAATTGTTTTTATTAATACAATTTATTTTTAGCAATATTTTCAATATTTTTTAAACATTCATATGTATTATATGAAAATTATATCTATAAATACATTGAATATATTAATCTAAAATTAAAAATGAATAAATAAAAGGATAAAGAGATATTAGAATCATTCAATCACATCTATATCGATTACACAATTTTTATAATTAGTGTAACAATTTAATATAGTATATAATCTTTCTATATCAAAATTTTAACCAAATTTTAATATAATATAAAATAGTATAAAATATAAAATATAAAATATAATATAAAATAGTAACTAATAGATAATTAACTATAATGGCTTAAATTGAAATGATGAATATTAAATGATATTATGGTTCATATACACATGAGATTATTAACTGATCTTGAGAATTATCTAAAAATGTATTTTTGCTTGTCTTGTATTTCATTTCATATTTCTTTTATGCTATTTTTTGTGAAATTGTTTCTTAAATAATATATTTCATTTTATATATATAATTTTGTTCATATGCAAAATTTGAAAAAAGATAAAAAACTTTAATTAAAAAACTTTAATTTTATTTAAATATTTAAGTACATACATATATATAATGTATGTTTTATATTTTATAATTAGATAATATAATTTGTTAATTAAAATTATTATTTGAAATATTATTTTTAAATCCTGAAAAATTTGAATGTCAATAAAAATAATATTATATTATTATTTTCTTATAGATTTTGTATTTGTATTATATTTATACTTGTTAGGAATATTTAAGACAGAAGTTATTATATTATTTAATATTATTAATTTAATAATATTCATAATTATTAAATTATTTGAATTAATAATTAATTATGTATATTTCATTTTTCATAATAAAAATTCTTTTTGATATTTTTTATATAATATATATATTTTTTATATAATTTTTTTTTATGTTTTTATATATGTATTTGTGAATAATTTCATTTTATCATGAAAAATCTAATAAATTTATATATAGTGTTTGAAAAATATATAAAATATATTAAATTAAATTAAAATAAGTGAATGTATAGGAAATATGTAATATTTAAATATAAATAGAGGAAAAAATATATGTTATATATATAAATTATATATGCATTTTTAATTAAATGATATATTGAATTTTTTTAGTTATTCTAGAATAACATTTTCATAAAACAAAACGTTTTTTATAATAAAATATTTACGGTGACGATTTTTTTTCTTTATTAATATAACAAAATAAAAATATTTTAAGTTGAAAATCATTTTAAATATTTGAAATATCATATTATAATTGTAATTTCTTAAAGTCTTAATGTACTTTCTATTTATGTAAATACTAATAAAAAATATTTATGGTTGAAGAAATCAGGCATTACATTTGTAGATAACGTAATAAATTAGAGATATTTGAGATCGATTTGAAAAAATGAAAGTCACAAGAGTAGAATAAATATTATATTAAATATTCTACATTATTTCGAATATTGAATAAAATAATTTTTTAATCTGGAAATGAAAAGATAATTTATTTTTCTAGAAATCTTATTTTAAAATTTATTTTTAAAACAAAGTATAAAAAACAAGTAGATTTTAAAATTTGTTTTTGTTTGATTATTTTTCTTTTTTGCCTAATTTAACATAACGACAATATAAAGAATAGAGAATACTTTCTTCAAAATATTCAGCATGATATAAAAATGCATTTATATATTTTATGCATGTATAGAAAGAAAACATTAACATTAAGTGATGATAAAGCCATTTTTCTGAATCATTAATGTAGTTCTCATTCTTCAGAACATTTACTGAATTTTATTAACAGTCCGTATATATCAAAACAAAATTTATTGCTTTTGTTATTATTATTATTATTATTATTATTATAAATATTTAATTCAGTGTGGAACGTCAACATTAACATGTATTGCGACAAATAGGAAGACAAATAGTCTTCCAAACACTATTGATTTATTATTGAAGAATTGAGAGATATTTCTGGAATTCAATATCGAACGAACATGTTTTTTAGATTGTCTGTATTTGTCACATTTGAATATTCCAACTTAATTAAACTTTTTAATTAAAATTAATAATTTTAAACTAATAATTGTAAATAAATAAAGATAAAGGGCGAATCCTTTCTTGCCTTCGTAATGTTACTATTTTTATTGCGATTTATAATTTTATTTCAATTTCAATTTAAATACTTTTTTTTATTGTTCAATTTAAAAATTTTTTTTTATAATGATCAAATAAATTGTAATTTTCTTTCATGTAAGAAAGAAAAATTAAAAATATTGACACGGTTTAATATAATAACTGCGAAATAATTAGAAGTAAAATTAAGTAGCATGAGAATCACTTTAAATGTTTTTATAGAATAAAATAAATAGATGTTAAAAATTAATTCAAATCATTAATTAAAAAGCTTTTAGTATAAATCATTAAATAAAAATGAGATTATTTAAAAACAATGATCAACATTATAAATTTAACTGATTTAAAATAATAGAAAAAAGCTATTAATAATAATAATCGAAGTTTGGGATATACGAATAATCGAAAATTGGGATATTTTAGTACTTTTGATCATAATTGAATAATGAAATGTATAGAAAAAATAAATTTAAAATACAAAATCTTAATTCATAAATTTTCAAAAAATATTCTAAAGTTGATTTAAAAAAAAATAATATTCCAAAATTTATATTCTAACTTATTTATAATCGTTTTATAAATATATTATAAACGATTGTGTGTATAATTTAGTTAAGTAAACGGCAAGAATAATATTTCTGCAGTTTCCAAGCTATTGGTTAGAAGTTGATAATAGACACTCGACAGAAAAAATGTATTTTCCCTACATTCCATCGCATTTATTTCTAAATAAATCTTCGCCTGTTCACGTAAATATCTCATATATATGCAAACGCTGCTTAGAAGCTTTCATTTTCACTCAGTCATCATATTATCTATGAAAAATACATGAAAAGTTGGTTTATGTTTCGCTTTTGTGTATAAATTTGAATTGGTTCGCAAAGATGTTGCAAAGGAGCTCAGTGGAAAACAGTGAAAAATTATGTAGGAAGTGATGAATAATAGATGATTTGGTTAATTGAAAATTTATAAATATTTATATAACATTCTTTTTTTATGCATGTTGATTTGAATTTTACTATTTTTTAGATTTAATTATTTTTTAAGCTTAATATCTTAATTGAAAATTAAGTATTAATTAATATATTAAAAAAAAGTATATTAAATATTTATATAATATTTATATTTAATATATTAAAAAAAAAGTAAAATATAAAAAATTTAATTTGAAAAAATATGAAATTATGATAAAATTTAATAATTTTTAATTTTTTCTAAGTGTTAAATTGGTTTTACTTGATTTTAATTTAATTATTTTTTTATTTATTTGAAATAGATATATTCTAAAAAAAAATATATATATATAAAATATATAAAATATTACGTATAATTGATTTAAATATAAAAAGATAATGTCTATAATGATAATTTAAGTAAAAATATCTTTATAAATTTTTTTTATCCTTTTTTTTCATAATAAATTTATATATAAATTATTTTATAAATTAAACATTTATAAATTACAATTTAGAAAAGAAAACAATATTTATGTTTTAAAAATTAAATATTTTTAAATTATATTATTATTATTAAATAATTTTATTTATAACAATATTTTTAATTTAATTTAATTTAATTAATTTTAATTATTTATTTTAATTATTTATTTTTTCTTTATTTTAATTTATTCTTATTATTTATAACTTTAATTCATTATTCATTTGATTGATAACATTTTTCTTCATATTATATAATATTTCATTATATATTAAAAATATTCACATTATATATCAAAATATATTAAAATTATAAAATCAATTGATTCCATTAATCAATTGATGTACATAAATTATATTATACAAACAAGAGATATGTATAATTTTTATGTGAATATAGTTATTATATAATGCTCCATAAAAAAATCATTTTTCCGCTTTAATCGGTGCTATATTTATTCTTTCTAAAATTTATAAAATTTATGTTTCACAGAATATTCTCAACATAGAATATTCTTTATATTTATATACTAGATTTAAATTTTTATCGTAATATTTATCAATTACTGTTTTTTGATTGCATAAATTAATATTCCTGCTAATTTTATAAAATAATTTTATTTTAAATATTCCTA